GAGATAATGGATTATGAAATAGGAAAACCCCTTATGCTTAAAAATATACAAAAAATTAGAAAAATTCAAAAAAGATTCAACAAACGGTATTGCTTCTTGGGAAGATGATTTAAGGTTCCAAATTCTATATCATAACTATGGATTTGCAGTTACATAGTTATTCATGCAAAAAATGGGATCTCACAAGAATTCCTTGTGAGCATGCAATTTCTGCAATGTTTGAGAAGGGGGTAGAACCAGAGTAGTATGTTGATAACTGGTACAAGAAGGAGATGTATATAAAGCAATACGAACTTGTGATCTACCCTTTGAATGGACCCCAAGATGTGGCCAAAGATAAGGTTCTGAGATGTTTTTCCACAATTGGTGAGAAAACAGTCAGGTAGACCTAGAAAGGTGAGGAAGACAGAAGTTGGTGAACATCCTAACCCACATAAGTTGAAGCGTTTTCAGAGGACTCTAAGATGTAGTAAGTGTGGAAATGAGGGACATAATCAAAGAAGATGTAATGGCCAACCACCACCAAATAATTCCAAAGGTCAACAAAGCAAGGGTCATGGTGGTGGGGGAACGACCAAAAAACCTGTTCAAATGGCCAGTGAGTTAGGATCAATTGGAATGAGCTATGAAAATCAAGCACCCAAGCATACCTAAGTTGCATGTATGTGCATTTATTGGTTGTATTATATGACATAGAATAATGCCATCTATTGACTACAATTTGCTTATAATTCTTGATTGTTTGTAAGTGAGGAGAAGCAAGGGTCATGGGGAATCATCGTCTGCATCTGTTTCAAAGCTGACTACAAATTCAAAGGTACAACATAGACGAGTTGCACCACAAAATGTTCCACCAAAGTCAAATGGACCACATTTTGTCTTACCAAGTGGAAGGCTACTTCCAGGTGTAGCGCCATTTATGTATAGAGGACAACCCTGTACAACATTATCTTCTTTAAGAGTTGCAACCCCAAATCATACACATGCCAATGGTGGGGGAGAACATTTCCAACACATACCTCTATGATACGTAATTACACTCTTGTTTGTCTAGCACCACTGATGGTGAAAACTAATGTTTTTGGTATTATATATCATGGGGTTGCTTTTGGACTAGATGGTTTAATTTTATTGCAATGGTATTAAATTAATTTTTTGGTGTTTTTATTTGTCATTGATTGAGAGTAAGTATTTTTCAAGGACCATTTATCAGGCACAAAAATTTGACTTGAAAAATATATCGACATTGAACTGGGAAATACAATATTTAACAAACAGATAATCAGTAATATCTGCTATATTAGCATTTGGAATGAGCCATAACACACCCGGTACGTTAACAATAAGTTTTTGAGCACATATACAACAAGTTTTTGAGCAAAAAGTTCACAAAATGCTACCCATTACAAACTTCTTCACCATCTTCTAGTTCATTTGCTCTGTTTCACCATCCTCAACTGAATTAGCAAAGAAAATGATGATGGCAAAAGTCCATGTTACAACCAAGCACCCAATCAGAACTTTCTCCCTTCTTTGGTGTTTTCTAATTCTTCTTTTTTGCCCTTGAATCATCTGCCTTTCACCTATAGAGTGGATTAGCACTGTCCGTACACCAGCATCACTATTCAGACGGAGTGTCAAAGTTGTAATTCTAGAAAGTTTTGAGTATATCCGAATGCAGGATTCACTGTCCGGACGCCATTGACAATATGGACCATGACTGTGTGGACGCGGCCAAAACTTTTCGGACGTAACTCTGACGATTGAGACTATTACATTGCTTGGACATAATTAGTATCATCCGGACGCAACTCTGACGATTTAGATTTTATGAGTATTTTTACTACTTTTGGTCACAATTTATATAATATCAAAGGATCTTTATACCTTGGGGAAAGCTTTTGGCCCACCCTTTTTTTATCTGTGATTTTTAATCGAAGTTTCTTTTTAAAATTATTGAGACATAAAGAGATCGGCATGATAGTGTTCGTGTGAGACCTCGTAGAGCATCTCACTTTTTAAGGGCATTAGTCATTACAAGGAGCAGACCCAAAAAATGGATAAAAATCACTAACATCCCCTGAGATTAGGGTAAATGACACAACAGCCCCCTGACATTTCAATAATAACAAGGACACCCCTTCAGTTTTATTACTTGTAACATAGAGACCCCCTCCGTCAAGCATCTATTAATGCTGTTAAGTAAAAGGGATGATGTCAAAAAAAAAAAAATCCCATTATGCCCTCCTCTGATTTTGGCGCTCAACAACATCAAATGCCTGACAATTATGCCCTCTACTCTACTCTACTCTACTCTACTCAACCAACTAGTGGTTTACCTTTTTTGCAATTTCATTCAAATTTTATTCTATACTTCTTCCCCTTCATTTTGATGCATATATATGTGTGTGTGTGTGTGTTTGTTTGTTTGCATGTTATTCTTTTAGTAAAATTTGGGATGTGAGTGATAACAAGCATGTAATTAGAAGGGGTCTAGGTGAATTTTAGTAAAATGTTAGGGTGTTTTAGTGATAGTAATCATGTAATCACAGGAGGTCTAGGAGAATTTTAATATGTTTTGAAACGAAAGTCTTTCAAAGCAAAATGTTTTCCTTGTAATTCCAAGATTTCTTAAGGACAAGGAAACCCATGTTTTTGACAAAGACAAATAATACTTCACTAACTCCCTCCATCACCATCCAATGGCGGGATCATATATCCAAAAGAAACATAATGTAAATTATCGATAACTAATATAGTAGCAGTTCCCATAAAACATATGGCCTACAAAAAAGCATATGACCTGCACAACAGCATATGGCCTGCACAAAAGTAATATAGTAGCAGTACCCATAAATACACGGTTTGCACACCCTGATCAGATTGCCCAACTGTTGCTCATTCTTCGTCACCTCTCCCATGACCTTTGTCTTTCCTTTAATTCCACTTCTTAGTCTCTTGTAACTTGTGACTGCGAACCACCTTGTGATTCTAACACAGATCTTGTATTATCCTAGACAATTAAGTTCACATTCAACATCAGTTCAAAAGAGAAAATACATATATAATGGAACAACTGAAAATACATATACCTGGGTTTTATTTACTATCTTTCTTACTTTGTCCCTTTTTTTATACAGGTGCTCTCTGGCATATCCTCTTGTTAACCCCCAACTACAAAGCAGATTTTACACCTAATTGTCATTGGCCTCCGCATTTGACTTATGGTAGCTTGTGGTTCATCTGCAGCTCTTCTTCTATTTAGGCCTTTTAGGGAGTCTATGTAAAAGAGGAGGTTGTAGTGGTTCTCTTACTGGAGCCCACATTTTTTGGTCAATTATGGGATGAATCATACCTCCATGGTCAGCAAGATACACTTCTTTAGAGAAACTTTTGTGGCAATATTTCTCTATATTGTCCCTTTGTGACCCTATAGCAGCTACAACATGCATCAAGGGATGCCTGATACCTGCCNAGAAACTTCTGTGGCAATATTTCTCTATATTGTCCCTTTGTGACCCTATAGCAGCTACAACATGCATCAAGGGATGCCTGATACCTGCCACTCTTTGCATGCACATTTTGATGTAGCCAAATTCACAGGATACCGTGTACCCTCATGAGTAATGTCAAACTTCAAATTCCCAACAAACAACACATAACAGTTCATGCTAGCTTTCATCACTTTATTTGGTTTCTACCTAATTTTTCTAGTGACTATGCCTTCCTATTCCCTCCCTTTTTGTAATCTCTTTTGAAACCTAACCGTAATTTTACACCTAATACCCTCCATTAGTGTAAGTATAGGTTTTGATCTATGTAACCCAATCCAGCTGTTAAATGACTCACAAAGGTTGTAAGTCACATGATCACTCTTCACTCATGTGCCAAAAGTATGCCTAGCCCATGTGTTTTTGGGGATACTTATCAGCCATTCATATGCATCCACATTTTGTTCTTTAATCAACTCCATAGCATTCACAAAATTCACTTGAGTATATGCTCTTGCTGCTTGCCAAAAGTATTTCCTAAGGAGTAAACCTGAGTACTTAGCTTTAAAATTGTTCACCAGATGCTTACAGCACCTCCTGTGTTTAGCCCCAAGAAAAATTTTCTCAAATACCTTATCAATTCCTTTTTGGTTATCTGACATAAAATTCCAAGCCTTTGATGTATCATCTGCCCCAAGTATTGCATGAAGATTTTGCAGAAACCATCCCCAGCTATCACTTCCTTCACTCTCAACCACTCCATAGGTCACGGGGATCAATCCTTTATTCCCATCCAGAGCCACTGCAGCCACTAAAACTCCACCATATGGCCCCTTAAGGTGACATCCATCAACCCCAACAAAAGTTCTACATCCTGCTCTGAACCACTATTTTATAGCAGCAAATGAAATAAAGCATCTCCGAAAAATTGGATTAGAGTTTATTGAAGCCTTAAAATAATCAATTACGAACACTGAGCCACGATTACTTTTTCACACTTCTCTACCATGTGCAAGCCACAACTCATATGATTTGCCTTGATTACCATCAATATATTCCACTGCCCTCTTTTTTGCTTTGTACAGTTGACTTGGATTGGCTTCAATCTCCCACTTGTCATGCAATTCAGACTACAATGTCTCAAGTTCATTTTTGGGTTGTTCTTGATCTCCCCTTAAAAACTTCTTTACAATCCAAGGAGTATTGACCTCTACTACTTTCCTATGTCTGATGCAGTTGTGGTCTTTGGTGTAACTTTTGACTTTGAAAGTGGGTTAATTAGAAAGAGGGGATGCATGAGTCCTCCACTTGCACCCCTCCGCAACATAATGGATTGTCACTCTAGTCCTCTCATTCTTCTTTCTTATTACCTTTATCCCGTTCATGACTATATAGTCTCTCAAGGCATCCCTAAATAAATCAACATTCCCAAACAACATTCCCACACAAAAATCCCAACCTGTGTTTCCACCATGCCCAACATGAAACTCAGTCCCATATTCAAATGTATCATGCATGGTAGACTTCTTCTTTTTTTTCCCTATTAACCCTTGATTCTTCATCAACATCAATGTTTGTATCTGTGCTTGTGGCAACACCCTCATCACCAGATTCATAATTTGAGAATCCATCATCACTATTTTCTTCAACATGACAAATATATTGACATTCATGCCTAACATTAGGTATATCATCACCCCCAGCCCTCCAATCTTCATCCTCAGAGCTAAACCTGACACATTGTCATCGTATTCATCATTGCTATCATTCCCAACCTATGTGTTCCCTATTTGGTGCTGGTGTGGTTGTCTGGATGCAATACCAATCTCCACATTTGTATGAATTACACCCTCGTTCCCTGAACTTGGAGGAACTGGGAGATTTGCCTGGTATCCCAACTATGACATCCATAAAGGCATGTATTTCCCTACTATATCCATACAAAGAAAAAACTTTAAGTAAATCCTTACCACAATTTGTCCAATACCATTTGGCCTTTCAACAGATATAGTGAATGCAAGAGTTGCTTTAATTGGTTGCATGTCACCCATCCACATCTCTCCAAGTTTATCCTCTAAATCCTAGTGACTGTATCTATCTGGGTCCACATCATATATGGTGCCAATATTTTCTCTAAAGTACACAACAATATTAAGATATTCATCCATTTCTGAACACATGTAATACTGCTTAAAAAATAACATATTTATGATGTAGTGTATTTGTTGAAACCTAAGGATTACGTTTTATTATTGACCACAAGATAGTAAAGGTCATGAACGACAAATTTAAGAGATGAAGATACAAAGAAGAGATGAAAAGTTAGAAAAAATCATACCTTACACAAAAACAAATAATACCTTACAAAAATTATACCTTCTCCAATTGACGAAGAAATCACAACAAACGATGGAAACGAAGAGACTAGGGTCTCTTGGCATTCAAGTTAAGGATAAACATGTAATTTTGACCATTCCCTTAACGTCGAACATATTTTAACGCCGATTGCGGTGGTCGTGTCATTATTGGAATGTCAAGGGGTCTTCGTGTCATTTATCCAAATCTCAGGCGGTGTTGATGATTTTTACCCAAAAAAAAAAAAAGTCCTTTCAAGGGGGCCGAAGGGGCATTTCGGTCAATCAAACAATCAAAGGGCTTAGGGTTTTGGTGAGACCTCATATAAACCTGCAATAAGCCCCCTACCCTCGCCGTCGCCTTCTCTCTTCTCTCGGTAATCTCTCTCCCTCTCCCTCTCTACGAAATCTCCTGTATTGTTCATTGATTTGTGTTTTTGTTCAGTGCATATTCATTTTTACTGTTTTGAATATATAGAGGCAGCTGATAACTTACAGTAGTTTATGTATAATATATATTGATTTTGTTCACATATCATTTTAGTATTTTACCCACGGCTGTTAAAATTTTTTTGTCATGGATGATTGGGTAGTCTATATTGATCTCTGGTTGCGGAGAGTAGTCTGTAGTTGGAGGAGGATGGTGACCTTCCTTGAAAACCAGTTCTCTATGAACTGATGGGGGAAGGGGACATATTGACTGTTTTGAACCACTGGCGCTTGGTGCTATTTTATTGCTTCTGTTACGTTTATGTTTCCTGCGCACCATATAAGCTTAGTGCTAATTTTTTTTTTTATTGGGGTAGGGGAGGGGAGGGGGCTTGAACCCTTGATCTTAGGAAGGCGAAACCTTCATAAGGTAAGGAAGATAAGGAGTACCATTAAACCAAAAGCCCGTTGGTATATAAGCTTAATGCTAATGATGTTACTTCAAGGACTGATTTTGTTGATATTTGTTGTAGTTACTGATTTGTCAACTTGGGTCTTTGATGAGAGTTTTCTGGTTGGTTTTGGTCACTTGTTCATTTCTATTTCTGAAATTAAGAAAAAAAAGATTGTTTTTTGCATGCCATGGGTTTTTTGAATGTAGTTGATAGGTTTTCTGTATCTGCCTAGGATATACCCCTTTTCAACATGTGAATAACTTTTACTTTTCAATATACCATCACTTTCCAAAAAAAAAAATTACTGTGTGTAAGTGCATGAACCACTTNAGGATATACCCCTTTTCAACATGTGAATAACTTTTACTTTTCAATATACTATCACTTTCCAAAAAAAAAATTACGTGTGTAAGTGCATGAACCACTGTTTGCCTTGTCATTGATGTACGTAATTATTATAATCACTCACAGCGATAAATAATTAGAATGTTACATAATCCATTATTTACAACCAATTTGTAAAAAAAAATTGAGTGATTTCTGTTTATTCGGGAACTCAATGGATCCATAGTCTTTTTATTATTTTTTTGTGTTCATGAATGATACAACTTTTTGTTATGAAATTGTTGAAAAAACTCATTCTATTTCTTTTATGATTATGAATAATAATTGATGAGGAAGAATTTAGACCATAATCTCAATGGCACACTATACAGTTTCATTTCTTAAATGGTTTTCTTTATATTATGTATTAGCTCAAATATGTATATTAAGTTTGTTTATTCAATACAATTTTATTATTCAATACAATTTGATTATTCAGATTGTTTACTGAAAGTGTCTGATTTGGTACCTCCGAAGTCAGTTTTTTTTTTAGCTGTGGAATTTTAGTGGCGGTTGGAAAAATCTAACAAGATGCAGAACGAGGAGGGACAAAACATGGATCTTTACATCCCCAGGAAGTGGTATGGTTGTTTTATTGTTACTGATCTATTAAGTCTCATCGTGATTTCAACTAACTTGGTATTAGTGATTTACCCATCATTTGTTATGCTTTTGCAGCTCTGCCACAAACAGACTGATCACTTCAAAGGATCATGCTTCTGTGCAGATCAATGTTGGACATTTGGATGAAACTGGCCGATACACTGGTCAATTCTCCACATTTGCTCTCTGTGGCTTTGTCCGGGCCCAGGTTCTTATTCTTTAGTTTCTTTTGTACTGAAAGATCTAGTGCTGTAGCCTGTATTTAAAGAACTAGTGTGTGTTTAATTGTCCTTTTGTATGTCGGTGCAATTGCCTTGCCATTTGTGTATACAGAGTATGAATGGTTCTTATTGTTGCTGTTTGTAATATGCTTCTACTGATATTCATTATGCTTTTTAGTATGACTAGCCTTATTGTTGTACTTAGAGTAGTTGGAGAGAATGAGGCTGCAAACTGTGTACAAGTACTTGCTGTTTGATTATTTGCTTAAGTACAATGGTGTTTGGCATTGCTTCATTCTGCCTTGGGTTCTTTTTGTTTGTGTGCTGGGCAATTCTCTCTCTCTCTCTCTCTCTCTCTCTCTCGTAGTTGTGGGTGAATGTGGGCGTGGAGGTTTGGTTCATTTGTTGGATGACTTTTTTTGCTATCAGCTTTTGTCTTGAAATCTTTATGATAGTACGTGCACTTATTTAATATATAGACCACAGATTGTTTAAACTTCTTTAACTTGTTGGTATTAATTTCCTCCTAACCAATCCAAATCAAACCAAGCCAAGCCTTATGTCCCAATCATTTGGGGTTGACTATAAGTTTCCTTCCGAATCTTAATAATTTCAAATCATTGAAATCAGCCCAAGTTTATGGAAAATCATGTTTTTTTTTCCTTTTACTGTTGTCATTTTCTGCCTAACAAGTTTTTGATAGTGTAAAAATAAGTTTCAAATTATAAGAATGGTTAGTCTTAACTTTGTGATGATGCCTTTTCCTCCCATTCCAAAAGAGTTGATATGTCTTCCCGAGTTGTTGAGTGATGATTTGTTTTATGTTATTAATTAATGTTTTAAAATGGATATCGAAATTTTTTGGGAGCAATTTGTAAATCTACACAAAGTTTGGAGGATAAATCTCTTCTATCCGATTTCCACTTCATTTCAAAAGACATGGTCTTTGAATTGATTTATCCTCCCTATTTAAGAATGCAGCTGGATCTGTTGTAGTCTCGATTTATCATTTTTGTTTTGGGTTGTTAAGTGGTGAGTTTTTTGTAGCATAATCTTGTTTTGATAAGGAACAAGGAGTGACCTTGTCCAAGAAGGATTAACGGGTGTATGGTATAGAAATGAGTCAGTTTTACACATTTTGTAATTGGAAAGATAACCCAATAGTTTTAGTGTTTCCCCAAAATCATAAGGGTTATGCATAGGTATCCAAAAAAGAACATTGATAAGGACATGCTTTGGGATTTTTGTGATATGCCTAGTAACTTTTTGCGCTGGGAAGCATGAATAGGGATATATGATACGAGTACGATATGATACGCATACGGCAATACGGGTACGATATGATACACATACTTCATGATACACCTAAAAAATGATATGTATCATGTCTCTGTATCGTTTTTGCTTCGTATCGTACGAAACACGATACGTGACGATTTTTTTTTTTTTTTTTTTTTTTTTTTGGGGTTAAAATGACATTATTTTACCCTATGACTTATTTTTAAATATCTAACCAGTGAAATAACGTCGTTTCGGTGGTTATAGTTTACAAAAAATAAAATATAGTCTCTCCTTAATGTTGTTGAATTGAATTCAAAATTCCTGATTAATATTAAGGTTATTCAAGCAGTTGATGTTAAAAGTTTGAATTAGAGGTCTTTTTATTTTGATATTACTGAAGTATGTTGGGAAATTGAATATTGGTAGAATATTAATGAAATGTTATATTAATATGAGTCTATGACTTTTTTACAAAGGTATATATATATATATTTTATTAATAATTATTTAAAAATTAAAATTGTGCGTATCATACGATATACGATACGATATACTATTTTTTAAAAATGATACGTCTTCCAATACGCGATTTGATAATTATGTTTACAAGTATTTATTTTAAGATTATAGTGTAACTAACTCATTTTTTTATTCTGTGTTACATGTAATAGCATATAATATTTAAAAAAACACTTATTTCTTCAAAATTAGATGGAATTTTATTGATATTTTGTATTGTATGTGAACTCGAAATGAGAGGGTATAGATTAAAATTAAAAATTGTACAGTTTGCTCTATGTTTAGAAGTATTCTCGAAGTATTTACATATTTTATTATTTATTGGATATGTATGATGCATATTCGATAAGTATTCTTGAGTATTATATCCGATAGTGTCTGATACAGGTACGTCGATCTTGATGAAATATCCGTGTTTCATAGACTTTGTCATACTCAACCGATTTTTTTATTATCGAGGAAAACCAGTTTGTCTTTTGTTTTCAATTAAGAGGACACTATAAAGTAAGTCAATTGAATACATAAATGAGAGTTGGGGACTCTTGCTCATTGTGACCATAGGCTCTTGCTAGTGCGTGATGAATGTGCAAATTTGTGATGCTACTCAAATAACTTTCATAATCATTTCACTTGGCCTGTGTACAAATTGTATCTCTCCTAACTAAATTTATATCTTGTCTGTTTAGTACAAGATTTCTCTCCACGTTTTAACTTCTGCTTTTATGCTCAGTAGTGTTTTGTTTTACAGTTAAAAAACAATATATAAACATATGCACAAATTTCATATATATTTGTGTGCACTGCATTGCCC